CGTCTTCTGAATGGTTAAACATATTGTTTAGCTTGTAACGTTTTAATTTGTTTTTAAAAGTTTTAGCTTTGTAAATTCTACGGTTTTAACGTTTTGTGATAAAATTATAATTTTTGTTGTTGCTAGAAGTCAATTCATCTTTCAAATTAATCAAAATTTACGACGATCTAGAAACTGTTGTAAATAACAAAAATGGTATGGTAGCATTGCAACAAACATTTATTAATCTTCTGAAAGTATAAAGATTTAAATCTAATTAGCAAATCATATGTTTTAATTCGCAATAAAACAAATTATCAAGTGTAATTAATTCCTCCTAATTATAAACGAACGAAGTAAATAAATTGTGTTGACGTAGAAAAAACCAACGAGTGGAAAGAAACTGGAAGCTCGTCTGTATGTTTGGGTTTGGGTCAATGCTTCAAAGAGACTTCTACATTGGGCTGCGAAATCTGATCCCGACGAAATCGCATCTTCTTCTCCGGTCGTTAGCTTCCGGTGGCAGAAAGAAGCAGAACCCTAAGCCGATCTTCGATTTCAAGGGGATCTCTGATCATGTCGAAATCTCTACCATATTCAGTTAAAGATGTTCATTACGACAATGCCAAGTTCAGACATCGATCTCCTTTAAAGGTTCAAGCTTGTTTTTTTTTACCGTCTTTTAGATCTTGATTCTGTGATATGGGTTTTGTCCAAGTTGTCTCCTTTTTCCTCCCTGTGATGTTTTACATATCTAGATGGATTTGATGTCACTAGTTCTTGCTTCTGATTTGGGCTTTGGTTTGATATGAATTGCTCTGTGTCAAAATTGAACTGGGAAATACGAAATTACGTTGTGTGAGGTAAAATTTCAGAGGGTTTTGGAACCATGGATTCTGAGTTATACAAAGCTAGATTTGGGAAAATGCTGCAAAAGTTTCAGTTTTTAGGCATAATTTGTTTGCCGTCAGGTTGAGATAGAGAATTTTCTTCAAATTAATCATGTCCTAAGCATCAATCTTTCTAGTGTCTTTTGCACTTTCTTTGCTAGTCTTTAAAATTCTTGATCAAAGAGCTTTAAGTGAAAGGCTTCTCCTTTTTCTTTTCCTGAAGTTTAGAAGGTTTGGCCGAAATGGGATCTAGATTACTCTCTGTTGCTTGCTCGTCTTTTGACATTTTTTTGCAATGTCTCCTTTTTTGGTTCTAGGTTCTTTCTCAAAGCGTGCTCACTCTTAGCACAAAACGCAACTGCGCAAGTTGTAGCACAGGAAAGTTCCTAATATTAATATTGTTCTTTGGGCTAGCATGTCTACTGCTGATGAGTAAGAGTCCAAATGATTCTGTTCTTAATGAAAAAGGAAAGGTCACTTTTGTTGCGGGCCTTAGGCTAGGGAGACTTTTGAGAAAGCCGCCTAGGCTTCCGCCTCGACTGTCACCGGACGAAGGACAATTAAGAGGGAGTTCGGCTAATGGTTCAAATTCTGACCCAAAATGGGCAGCCAGGCAGCAAAGTGTGAAGGATGCTTTTGATTATGCATGGTCTGGCTATAGGAAGTTCGCCATGGGTTATGACGAGCTTATGCCTATTAGCCAGCGAGGCGTAGATGGCTTAGGAGGACTAGGTGCCACTGTGGTTGATGCTCTTGATACAGCCATAATAATGGGTCTTGATAATATCGTTTCTGAAGCAGGGTCATGGGTCGAAGCTCATCTCTTGGAGAGAATCAGTCAAAAGGATCAAGTTAATTTATTTGAAACTACAATACGTGTTTTGGGTGGGCTTCTAAGTGCATACCATCTGAGTGGAGGAGAGCAGGGGACGATGAACATTACCCATAATGGACCGAAACCAGCTATCTATTTAAATGTTGCAAAGGATTTGGCTGACCGTCTACTCTCAGCTTTTAACTCCAGCCCTACTTCAGTTCCTTATAGTGATGTCATATTGCGTGACTCAACCGCTCATCCAGCTCCTGGAGGAATGAGCAGTACAGCGGAAGTTGCCTCTGTGCAGCTTGAGTTTAACTACCTCAGTGCTATTTCTGGTGATCCAAAGTATAGTACAGAAGCCATGAAGGTCTTAGCTCATATAAAAACTCTTCCAAAGACTGAAGGTCTTGTTCCAATCTACATCAGGTAATTAGTTTTTGCTCTTTCAACTACTAAGACTACGACTAGCATTAATGTTCGCGGGCTCTTTTAATCTGACATGTTGTTGTGCAGCCCTCAATCAGGTGACTTTGTTGGTGAGAATATCAGGTTGGGATCTCGTGGTGATAGCTACTATGAGTATTTAATTAAGGTGTGGCTTCAGCAAGGAGGCAAGATGAACAATAGTTACACATATTTGCATGATATGTACATTGAGGCAATGAAAGGAGTCAGGCATTTGCTTGTGCGCAAATCAATTCCAAAAGGCCTGGTCTTTGTAGGGGAGTTACCTTACGGGTCTAAGGGAGAGTTCAGTCCAAAAATGGACCATCTGGTAAGCGTTACTCGCTACCTTATACTGACAATATCGATCAACCCCATTTCGTAGGATTATGCCATTGCCATTTGTTGAGCGATTTCACGACGTTTGTTGTTCGTGAGGAATGATTCATTTCATTTTTTTTTGGGTCTAGGTATGCTTCTTGCCTGGTACTCTTGCTCTTGGTGCTACCAAGGGACTCACAAAGGAAAAAGCCCTGAAGGAAAATCTTTTATCGTTCGAGGATCTAGAAAATCTGAAACTTGCAGAAGATTTAGCGAAAACATGCTATGAGATGTATGAAGTAACTGCCACTGGCCTTGCTCCAGAAATTGCTTACTTCCACACAAAGGCAAGTTTTGTGTGTATTTTGCTTTTGCGCGTTATCCTTGCTCTTGTTTTTTTTCTTCTTTTTAATTCTTGGATTCGAATTAAGCAGGAATACTCTGAGGATGGTCTTGAAGGTGGGAACAAGAGTTCCATGTATGCAAAAGACATAATCATAAAGCACGCTGATCGACATAATCTACTGCGTCCTGAAACTGTTGAATCACTCTTTGTCCTCTACCGTATCACAAAAGATACAAAGTATGAAAACTTTTCATAGGATTTTCTCTCATTGTCTGAGTTCTTGGAGAGTATACTACTCTTAAAGCTGACACATTTCTAAAAACTGCAGATACCGAGATCAAGGTTGGCAAATCTTCGAAGCATTTGAAAAATACACAAAGGTTAAATCAGGGGGTTACACATCATTGGATGATGTAACAGAAGTGCCTCCTCATAGGAGAGATAAGATGGAGACATTTTTCCTTGGTGAAACATTGAAGTACTTATACTTGCTCTTTGGAGATGACTCAGTGATTCCATTGGATAAGTTTGTTTTCAACACTGAAGCTCATCCATTGCCAATAAGAAAGACCTGAAAGGTTACTTTTGAAGACTGTCCCAGAGAATACTCACACACACAGACACAAACCAAAGAGAAGGTTTGGAGAAAAGTGATGTATAGTACAATACCAATTGGAGAAGAGGTTATAGTTCTTTGAGGGAAGAAAAGAAACACAAACTGTTGATGTAAGATAAAGTTTTAACTCCCAAGTTTTTGAATTTATGATTTGTAGGTTTCTTGCGGATTATGGTAGCTCTTTCTTTTGAGCTTTCCATTGGTAAATTGTAATCAGACACCATAGTTGTAAACAGACAACTTTTGATTTGGCTGTTCTAGCTATTTTTGCAGAATACCATTATTGATTTGGAGCATGTTACACACTAAATGCACACAGATACTTGTGTAAATTTCCAAATTAATAACTTGATAAGATCGGTATAAGTTACACATTGAAGTGTGGTAGTCAACATAAAAAGATCAGAGACACAAAATGACATTGATCACCACTAAACTGAAACCACAAGAACCTTCAATAACTGAATATGACACCATAGAGACATGGTCTTTGACAAATGTGGTTGCAACTCACTAACTTAATCAAGCCTTTGCGTTTCCTGCTTGGATAGATTGTACCCTTTGTTGTAACTTCACTATCTGCAAGAGTTTGATTCCATGAATTAAAACCATAGGATCATTATCACCAGTCTAAACCAATAAACAAGTTTCATTTGTGTCCATAGGTCCCAAATTCTATCAAAACAACAGATTCTCAGACGGTGCCATTGCCAAAGCCACTTCAAGTCTCTTTCTTTCAGGGCAACCATATGAAATGAAAACGAAAACCCGTCTACCAAAGTATATTTTTAGAGCTTAGTAAGGTGAGCATCAATGATCAATGTTTGGACTATATTTTAATGTGTAATAGCATTAATATTAATGATCAAAGGCATTTAAAGAAGTATATTATGCATGAGAGAGACTTACCGCATCTCTCTTGCTGATTTGTTTTTCTTCCATATCTTGAAGAATTGCATCGAGCCGTTTCCTACAAAGAATATAACATTATTCTCGAGATCATGACGCTATTGCTCGACACCAACATCCTCAATAGTTGTTATATAGCTAAAAGAGAAACCATGTTTTTACAGAAGTGCTCACTGCATATCCATATTCTAAACAGCGCATACTCGTATAAAAAGACAACGGATGATTTTCAATACACATTCTAGTTACTAATATCAGCACCTTTACTCTAATGACATAATTAACCAACATCATTCACTAGTAGCCTAGAATGAAAGGTTCATTATCTTCCAATCGAAATAACGATCCAAAAGTTTCTTTATTTTCAACTACTAAACCAATAGTATTCAAATGGGTCAATGATCAAAGAGGAAACCAAACACTAGAAAGAAACTCACAATTCAGCAGAAATGTACTCGATTCTTTTGCGAACATTTGCATTTGCTTCTGCCAAATCCTGCTTCACTAGCACAGGACCAATCATTTTGTAAACGTTTGCATCTTCTTCAAGCAAATCCAACTCCTATACAAACAAGACAATCCCACAAAAATCATTCCTCTCCCAATTTCAGAATCAACAATTTTCCAACATGTAATCAAGTAGACGAATTGCCACAAAATCGAGAAGACAGTGAGAC